AATAATAATATTTGCAGTTCTTCATTGCCAGCTGTAAATTAGATTTGAACATGGGGAGGGGGGTGATTTACTAAAATTGGAAAGTGCAAAACCTGATTCAGCTCTGCATAGAAACCCATCAGCTTCCAGCTTAATTGAACAAGCTAAAGTTAGAAGCTGATTGGCTACATGTACAGCTGCACCATATTTTGCACTCTCCGGTTTTACTAAATTAACCTCTGTCTGTCCTAACAAAAGGTTAAAAACTTAGAAACTGCCCTCCTGAGTTGTATGTTAATGAGGTATAGCTCACTCTATCTGGGGACAAAGACTGTCCAGAAATTCTTAGAATCATCCATTCCTTGGAAACATCTAAAAGATAAGGAAACAAACAAACAAGAAAACAAAAACGAAAAAACAAAAAAACAAACAAAAAATTGTATATACATATATATATATATATATATATATATAATATATATATATATATATATATGTATATTATAGGTACGCTGTGTGAATGGGAACACATAACAAACCCACAGCAGTGTTTTCTCCAATTTGAAAGTGAAAATACCCTTTAAAATAAAACCATTGTGGGTTTGGTATACTAAAGGAGTAGAGCTGAGTAGAGTCAATCGATCTGAGTAGACCTGAGTCAGACCAATAACTCTGAAACTAGCAAAGCTCACCCTCCTTGCTCATTGGAGAACTCCAGCATTGACTAGCAAGGAGTGTCAGACCTCTGCAGAGAGACCACTGCTTCCACATAGAAGCCTCCAGCATGCTGGCAGAAGACAGCCTTTTCCACTAAGCCTGTGGCTGCTTTTTTAAAAAAAAATGAACTGTAAAATGATCATACGCATTGCTCAGCCGGAATTGGCCAAAATTCAAGCAGTCTATATTGATCTTAGAAATTTGCACACCTTTTATTTTGATGCACCTAGAAAACACTTAGCTGATCTAAACAGAAAATTAAGTGTGGCTTCAACCGCTTCCCGACCGCCCTATAGCAGAGATACTGCTACAGGGTGGCAGGGATGCACAAAATCACGTATATATATATATATATATGTGTGATTTTGTATTTCCGGGTAGGGAATAAAAACCCACGCCACTATTGGCTCCTCGGCATGTCAATCACTGGGTCCTGGCCGAGCATCGGTGATCATCGGCAGAGCTGCCAGGGGAGAGGTCTGTATGTAAACAATACAGATCTCTCCGCTGTAAGCACAAACAGGCTGCATTGTATTGCTCTGCACGGCAGAACAATACAAAGGCAACTTTTTTCCTTAATAAAGCACACACAGCACACAGTTAACCCTTTGATCACCCCAGATGTTAACCTCTTCCTGCCCAGTGTCATTAGTACAGTGTCAGTGCTTTTTATTAGCAGGGATCACTGTATTAGTGTCACTGGGGATGTCAGTGGCAGTTAGTCAGTTCCCACCCAGTGTCAGAATGCCCGCCACAATCCCGCAGTCTCACAATAAGTCGCTGATCGCTACCATTACTAGTAAAATAAATTAATAAATAAATATTCCAGTATATATACCGCCATTTGTAGATGCTATAACTTCACGTAAACCAATTAATTTACACATATTGGGATTTTTTTTTTTTTAGCAAAGACATGTAGCAGAATACATTTTGGCTTCAATTTATGATGAAATTTGATTTTTAAAATGGTTTTATTGGACTTGTAAAAAAAATATTTTTTTTTTCAAAATTGTGGGTCTTTTATTGTTTATAGTGCAAAAAATAAAAACCGCACACATGATCAAATACCACTGAAAAAAAGCTCTATTTGTGGGAAAAAAGAACATAAATTTATGTATAACATTGCATGACCGCACAATTGTCAGTTAAAATAACACAGCGTTGTATCGCAAAAAATGGCCTATTCAGAAAGGGGGTAAATCCTCTAGAGGGCAAGTGGAATATTCAGTTGGAAAAGTTTCAATTTAAATATCTAACCATGTGTTAGCAAAAAATATTTTTTTTTCATTCTCCTTCCATATGATTTCAAATGAACACAGGTTCACCTTGTTTACTAAAATTCACTTTACTATCTGAGCCTTCATACCTTTAGTATTTCAGGTAATTCGGTCTGCATTGGGCGATTGAAGGGAACATAGCTTCTCCTGAATCATGCAAAGTAAAAATTTGCTGTTTCTTTAGTAACTACACTCCATCATCCCAATTTTGTAAGCCTGGTTATGTTCAGTACACAAGTGCTGATCCTGGCAGATGGTGTTCCTTTGGTTATTAAAAATATTGTGTGTCTACAGGCTCCTATCATAAAAGCCAGGCCTTGCATCTGACCCATACAGAAATGATTGTATTTGAACCATCAAGCCTTTGATAGTGCCTGTTGGAGGGACTGTATGATGTTTATTAAAAAATTAAGTTACATTTTTCAACTCATTACAGCTAAATACACATGTAAGTGCACACGCAATGAAGGATAAGATCTGTGCCCTTATAGACATATATTCCATTGACATCTCTGCGTTTTCACTTTGTGTGGTTTAATGGTTCTGCAGGTAGCAATTTTGACCTATTTTGACAACAACTTATCTTCCATAGAGATCTTGGAATTGCATAAATTACATAAAAGCACACAATGCATGCACTTTACTACAGGAGTTACCCAATCTGCCTGGTAAATGCATGAAAACCTCATTTAAAAGACAAGTACTTTGAAATACAAAAGTGAGAAGCCGTCCAAAAACAGACTTCAAGAAAGCAATACAAAGTGTAATGTAAAAATGCAATGACAACCAATCAGATCTCATAGATCGTAAAAAGAGGTCATTTCTGAACTGTTGGTTAGTATGGTATACCGCACTTGGTATATTATAATTGCTCTCTATACACTGAAGCCCCTAAATGGCAGTGAAAACAATTTGTAGACTAATGAGGTTCCATAGAAGTCCATTGATATATAGAAAATCAACTAATAGCTCAGGTATTCCAGCAATTTTCTTCTCTGGATCTGAGCCCTCTCATGTAACCCTCCTGAAAGGGTGCAAATCTGGAGTAAAACTATTTACAGACTGCTTTCTTGATTTTCAGTACAATACATAATAAGGCAAACTTTGTAAATCCAATATTTACTAAATCGTATTTACAAATCATTTCATATATATTTGTCCAGAATAATTTATTTTATTAACCCCTACCACAAATGTGTCTTCTATTATTGGGTATTGCAATATTCTACTGCAATTTACTGAGTTTATGAGCTTATTTTTTCAACAGAAGGAATGCAGATGTAAAGTATATGTAAACCCTCATCTTGTAAAACAACCATTTCATTTAAAAATAGAAATGAATGGCAAACATTTGCGTATAGATATTAAAAAATGATAAATATTTTCTGTCCCTTTTTTATAAGTGATCACATTCCCTCTGTTCTCAACTGCATAAGTAGATCAGGGAGCAGAAACAGCAGGACACTGGCCTTCCCAATGAATGGCGGTGCAGAGTGTGTGTGTGTGTGTGTGGGGGGGGGGGGTGTCAGCAAGTCTGATCATCAAGAGCAGATTGAGGTGTTCTTTTATCATGCAGCGGTAAATTACCACTGCTCAGTTCTCCAGCATTCTCAGAGGAGAAAGTTCTCCTCTGAATGCCTTTTTATGAAGCGGTGTAGATTGCTTCTCCGAATGAGGAGCGAAATGATCTACAAACGCTTTTAGGGCTGGAAAACGGCTGCTGTTACAGTAATCTTGCGAGGTTACAGTAACAGATCAGTCATACACTGTTTACAAATCGTTTGCGGTTCCCCCGATTCTCCACCTCTGCACTGGAGAATCTGGAGGCAGAACACAGATCGCCAGTGAAGGGCTGACATCGCTCCTTCATACACTGGCAGTCTGTGTGCTGAGATGATCAGCGGAGAACATGTTCTCCACTGATCATCTCTGTTTCCTAAACCACTAATGATCTGAGATCAGCAACAATCCTTAGGATCACAGCTGATCTCTGTTTCATAAAAGGACACCTGAGTTCCAGCACAGCCAGAAAACTGACCACGATGTGATCCCATACCTAGTGTGGTCAGTTTTTAATAGGAAAGCAGAGGAACACCAGGGATTTCACACAAAGGAATCAATGCAGAAAACAATATACTTTTCCATACAAGTACATAGTACAGCAGGCACATATCAGGAATATCAAATGTTGGGTTTACATATGCTTTAATGGGAGAATATTTGACCATGATGAGGTTGTCAAATTTTGACTGGCCAGTTACTACAAATGGCTTCAAATGACTGTCAGACACAAATAATGTGGTGCCCTATTTGCAATGGTTATTTTGAGAAACATGAAACCTACCTAGCTATTTTTTTGGTTCCTGGTAAATGTTCCTGTATTGAAATAAAAAAAAATACATATTTACTAGTCCTAGGAATCCAGTGATGTCCTTCTTCCAGCCCAATGTTCTTCTTTGTCACTATGTCTTGTCCTGACACCTTACGTATACGCAAACATGGTGCAAGTGTCTGCCAGGCATGTCTGTGCATGTGTGAGATCATGTTGCCTACGTCATCCTTGCTTAGGCAAGGATGAAGAAAGTTAAAAGCATAAAATATATATTCATTGTTTACATATTGTCCTCAATTATTTAAAATGGAGGCTGGAGGAGTCAGAAGAGAGGAAGTCATACTCATGAGTAAGGGTCCACTTTAAGCTCATAAACTGGTATACAAAATCTGGAGTGTAGAAAATTGAGCAAAGATGGAGCATTGCACCTTAGAACGTCAATGATCACCTTGGCTGATAAGAGCCAGATTTATCTTGGCTATTTTATTCATAATTCAGCCCTGAGGTCTTTATAAGTTCCATCCAGATAATGAGAATCCATCCTGCTGCTCAGAAAAGCCAGTGTTGGGTTCCATTGTGGTTTATTCAGACTTCGGGTAGGTGGTGCCCAGACCTTAATCACCAGGCTCTGATTCCTGGCATAGAAGGCTGTAAATGCCCCTGCTGGGCACTGCCAGGGACAGCTGCAATGTTCATACTGACCAGCTGTACGGGTGGTGTGCCCCCAGCTGGCACCATAGGAGCTCTTGAGTAATATGGATTGCTGCTATATCCACCAAAACACACCGGATAAGGGTATGAGCTGGCATTGGCACCGTAAGTTGTATGGAAAGTCTGATTCCCAGCCAGGCAGGGCTTCCCATCCCTGACCAAAACTGGCACTGCCACCCTGCGGGGAGGAGGAGGGTGTCCTGCCAGCTCCAGAGACCGGTCCTGTTTCTGCCGCTTGCACTTGTATCTCTTCTGTTCTGGAACCAGATCTTCACCTGGGTGGAGGTGAGCTTGAGGACTGATGCCAGCTGTTCCCTCTCCGGGGCAGATAGGTACTTCTGCTGCTTAAACCTCCTCTCCAACTCGTACACCTGGACCTGGGAGAAGAGGACCCGGGGCTTCCTCCTCTGTCTCTGCTGGGGGCGATCTGGGGGCTCCCCCCGCCTGTTGGACACTTCGCCGCCTGCAACTGCCATAAAATGAATAATAATATCAACAATAATAACAATAGTAATGATACATGTAGGAGAAGAGCTATGATATTTATGAAGGCACACTTATAAAAGATTGGTTTACTAATAGTTTCATTCCAAACACTACACTGAGAATTCCATATATTCATATATTTATTTTCAAAAGACGAGGGGTCTTCAAAAAGTGTCCGCACTTTGATATTTTCATTGGAAACGGTGACAACGGGAGGAGTAGTAATTGGTCATGTCTGAGAGTGTCATGTGATTAGTCTGTCTGGCAAGCTGGCTGACTTTGCAGTTTAGTATTAGGCTCCATGCACACTGGGCTTAAAAAAAATACCAGTTCCCTTGGCAGAAAAAGGCGGTGAGATAGCGCATTTCTGTGCACCATTTAGGCAAGTTTAGGAGAGTTTAGCATTTTTTCTGCCAGAAAGCTCCAATCAAAAACACAAACCAGAAGGGTTTTTTTCCGCCTCTAAATGTTGAGCCTAAAATAGCCCTTAGAACATTATGCATGGACATATAGGATAACACTGAGCTGCTTCTACCGGCAGAACCCAAACCTCCTGTAGAAGCAGCGATTTTGAAGCCAATGTGCATGGAGGCTAAGGTGTACATTTATCAAGCAATGGTACTTTAAATGACCGCTGCTATGTTTTCTGGCATCCTCCGAGTGCCTGTTTATGAAGCAGTGTAGATCGCTTCTCCTGATGAGGAAAGAAGCCCTCTACAAACACTTTGAACTCTGGAAAATGGCTGTTGTTGCTGTAATCTTGAGAGATCTAGCGAGATTACAGTAACAACAGATCAGTAAAACACACAGCTGTCAGTTTATTAAGAAGTAGTAAATTACCTCTGCTGAGGTGGAGGCTCTCCTCAGTACACACATACACAATAATAAAAAAAATGATGTGTGTGTGTGTATATATATATATATATATATATATATATATATATACAAATAACACACACATATATATATATATATATATATATATATACACATACATGTGTGTTCTGTATATGTATACATATATACATATTATATATATATATAGATATGTCTATATATATATATATATATATATATATATATATATAGATATATCTATATATATATAGATATATATAGATATACATACACACAAATAATACACACACACACACACACACACACAGATATCTATCTATCTATCTATCTATCTATATATATATATTATTATATATATATATACATATATATATATATACACACACACACAAACACATATATACATATATATTTATAGATTGCTCCAGTTTGGGGGGTGTTGTAAAAGGCAGGCGGGCTTTCCCACTGTCTTGGAGGCTCTGAAGGAAGAAAAATACAGACCAAAAACTTTCTCCTCAGAACTCCAGCAATTCTCCCTTCTCTCCCCGATTCTCCATCTCTGGGCTGAAGAATCTGGGAGGGAGAATTTTCACACAAATCCTCAGTGATGGGCTGACATCGCTCCTTCATAAACTGGCCGTTTCTGTGTCTGTTGACTGCAGATTCTCTTGTGTGCAGAGAAGATCAGCAGAGAACATGTTCTCTGCTGATCTTCTCTGCTTCACAAACCACTAATGTACTGAAATCAGCAGGAATCCCCAGGATGTACATACATATATATATATATATATATATATATATATATATATATATATATATATATATATATATATATATACACACACACACACACACACATATATATATATATATATATATATATATATATATATATATATATTTGTGTGTGTACATATATATACATATGGATATATATATTTATATACGTACATATATATATCAAACATTGGAACGGGTAACTACTTTTGTGTTGCAAATCTTATCTGTTGGGGATCTCGTTAACATTGGGTTTCTGTAATTCCGTATATATATATGACATCCCAAAACAAATGAGATCTCCAAGTTGCAAAAATTCTTTCTTTAAGTGTAGCTTCATGCAAAAATTAGCGTGACTGCGCAGTTGCAAGCATACTGCTCTTCATCAAGCTACAGTTGTAGCTTTTTGCTACTTGAAGCTCTCGTACTCATTTGTTTTTATATATATTTATAATTATAATTTTTTTTTCTTTGTATATATAAGAGATGCTGTCTTTCAGGAACTATTAACAGATGTGTAAATAATAAACAATTATACAAGTATACATGATTTAAATTAGAACTAACTCATTTGCAGTCTTTCTGATGTATATATATATATTATATATATATATATATATAAAATATTTTTCTTTCTATAAGATATAAATTATAGATCCATATATATATATATTTATATATATATACATTTTTCATAAACTATTAACAGATGTGTTATTGATAATAATTATACAAATAATAATAATAACTATTATTATTCGAATGACAATAATCAAAATTATTATAATAATTATACTGGTACACATGATTTCAATTATAACTAATAGCTAATTTTAACTATCACTAATTCGCAGTCTTCCTGATGGATTCCCTTGATATAAGCACACTCCAGGAATATTTGGTTTAGTGGAAGTGTTATTTATCTTGGAAGCTTCCCAAATATCTTGAGAGTTGATAAGATTGTAATTGGTACTTTAGGGAGCAAATATGCTTTATATAAATCCAGTTATTCTAATGAATCTTCATAACTCTGCCAAAAACACAGACACATATTATTATATATATATATTATATATATATATATAAACATATAGATGCCTTTTATTATTTTTTGCATTGGGGGTGAGTTATAGAGACGACACTTTTAACCATCTCTTGTGTTCACCTACAATTTACAATCAGGTTTGGGGGGATCTCTATTATTTTTTTTCCCCTCTTAACCTGATTGGACATTGAATTGAGGATGATCGACCCCTCTGTATGTTCGGCTAAATACTTATAAAACTCATATTCTACACATTTCTTATAAATAGTGGTATAGTAGCAATAAATAACATGTTAAAACTCTAAGCAAATGTCCATACTCTTAACAATATCTCGTTAGTTCAAATTAATGCTTGTGGTGCACTTTTGAAATTGTGTGAATAATTCAATAAATATTAATTCATGGTGAATTGCTGCTAATGCAAATTATTCAATAAATGGATGTTACAGCGTTTTCGTGTTTAGAATTTAATCAAACGTCGATTGTATAGATACGCTGTGGCATGATGAGAATACCTTGTACAGGAACGATCTGCAGAGTACTAAGGTGCTATACAATTAAAATTGCTAATTGTCGTTTATGTACATTAACAAAGCAGACAGAAGAGACACAAATATCCAGATGCAATTTAAAAAAATGTTATACCTCGCCTAGTGTTATAAAACCAATTATATTTTACACCTTTATACCTTGCATTGCTTTTGAATGATTATTATATTAAGACACTGCATTACAAATTGGATAATATATATCGTAACCTTGTGTTCATCCGTTTATATGTGAGCACCTGGAATGCTACCAGTGTATTTATTTATAGGCTGAAATTAAACAAAAATTTACCAAAAATTAAATGAAACAGAAATTAAATTTTAAAAAAAATGCATATTATGATAAAGTTTATACATTGAAATCATTGGGAACCCTCGGCAAAAGAAGTGTTTGGGTGAGTAGTATTGCAGATCTATGTTTAATAACTGTGTTGTGATTTGGCTTTTAGCAAATATTTAATATTTTGTATCGATTCTACTTTTTATAAGCCCCGACCTATGTCCTGTGTATATGTCTGTACAGAGATCAGGATTATATAAAACTTGCTACAATTTGCTAAATGTCGTGCTTGTAGAACGGATTCTTGTCTCTAATGGGTTGTAACAAAACTCTACATTTGACATTTTATATTTAAACGCCAATGATTTATATTTGAACTTTAATACTTTATATTTAAATTAATATTTAAACTCTAATAATATACATTGATATTTAAACTCCAGTATTGTATTTCACAAACACACACACACACACACACACACACACACACACACACACACACACATATATATATATATATATATATATATATATAAAAAAAACAATAGCAATTGTGTGTGTGTATATATATATATATATATATATATATATTTACATACATACATATATATATATATATATATATATATATATATACACATATAGTAATAATTTATTATATATAAATATTTATATTTAAACCAAAATTTATTTATATATAAACTAAAATAATTGATATTTATCTATAAACTAATATTTAAACTCCAAATGTATATTTAAATGTACATTTACACTCTAAAAATGTATATTTCCTGTATATATAAATTTATATTTTAACTCCAATAATACAATCATCCCCAAAGTTGCAATTGTTTCACATAATTGCTTCTTATGTGTAGGCACTGACATTTGATTGCAGTAATGTAGGCAGGATTACATAATATCTCCAGTAACAAATGGGATGATTGTGAATTAAATAAATCAATTTTACTCTTTGACTACTACAAACTAATAAATGTAGAACTCCTATTACTATTCCTGAAATAGTCCCTGTCCCTAGTTTCCCAGCCTGGGAAGCACCATAGGTTCCAGCTCTGCCTTTTAAGTCATGGGGTAACACATGCCGCCCAATCCTTTATTACAGGCTATATTAATGAGTTCACCTTTCTCCTTGTGTAATTAGTGGCAGCCGGTAGTTAGGAATGGTCTCTACAATGAATTGATTACCCAGTATGTAATATAGGTTCATTTCCAGTCCCTGCACTCACTTTGTTCCTGAGTTTCTTCGTCTTCCTCTCCCATTGGGGACTGGCAGGGGAGCCCCAGATCCTCAGTGTCCCTTCCTTTGTCCTGTCCCTCTGTGCAGGGTGTTGCCTCCACCTGGCCTGCAGGATGCTGCTTCTCCAGCTTCAGGATGTCCTTCACTGAGAAAGGGGTGGAAGTAGCAGGACTGGGGAGCATTCTAAGGGGCTCAGGGCTCTCTGAGTCCCCAGTGTATTGCTG